AGCACCACATGTGATTATCGGCCAGGCTGGCACAATTAACTAACTCAGATGGCTATGTATTTCTTTCCTGAATTTATTTTCAGAGCCATTTGTTTTCAGTGCAAGGAATCTGGCTGGATTTTGTTAATTTGATCATGTGCCCTACCACATTGCTGAATCTTTCAAATAATTTTCTTGCCATATTTTTGGGACTTTCTTTGCATAGGATGGTATCATTTGCAAATGGCGTTCTAGTCCTTCTTTGACAATTGGGATGTCTTTAAAATTCCTCTTTTGCCTTATGGCTTTGACTAAAACTTCCAGCACAATATTCAATAAGTAATGAGAAAGGCTCCCATCCATAAGAGGAATGCTTGCAGTTTCTTTGCATTGATCATATTGTTGGCCATTGGTTATATGTATATGTCCCCTTAATCATATTGAGGATTTTCTCTTTTCCTACTTTATTGAGCGTTTTGATTAGGAGTTGGTGTTGGAATTTGTCAAATGCTCTTTCTGCATCTATCAATTTGATCACTTGGTTCTTTTCCTTTGTTTAATAAAACAAAGGAATTTTGTTTTATTTATATTGCAAATTATGTTGACTATTTTCCTAATGTTAAACCATCCTTTCATACCTGGTGTGAATTTCACTTGGATATGGTATATGATCTAGATAGATAAATAGGTAGATAGATAGATAGATAGATAGATGCATTGTTGGATCCCACTGGCTAGAATTTGGTTGAGAATTTTTGCATTTATGTGTATGAGGAATATTGGTCTATAATTTTCTATTTTAGTGATACCTTTATGTAGTTTTGATATCAGGGTTATGCTTGATTCACAAAATGAATTTTGGAGTTTTCCATCTGGGGTAGTTTTAGTAGAGTTGGTGTCAGTTCCTCTCTGAATGTTTGGTAGAATTTACCAGGGAAGTTAGCTGAGCTTGATTTGTTGTTGTTATTGGGGGCTTTTAATACTTTGGTTAATGTCTACTTTTATTATGTGTCTGTTCAGATTTCACACTTCAGTCCCTGTTAGTTTAGATATCTAATGTGGTTCCAGAATTTTGTCTATTTCATCTAGATTTTGAAATTTGGTGGTGTACAGTCTTTCATAGTATTCTGTCATTATCTTTTTTATTTCAGTTGGTTCTGTTATGACAACACTCACTTCATTTCTTATTTGTGTTGTTTGCATGTCTCCCTTTTCTTTCTTTTTATATGTTTCAGTGGTTTTTCAATTTTATTAATACTTTTAAAGAATCAGGTTATTGTCTTTTTGATTTTTCTATGCTTTTGTGTCTGCTCTTAACTTTATTATTGTTTTATAGTTTTATTGATATAAAATTCACATATCATACACTTCCATAGTTAGTTTTCTTTTTAAAAGAGTTGATATGCATCATCAAAATCAGTTCTGTGACTCCCTCCCCTCTCCCGAATTCATTATTTGCTCTCCAATTCCTCACTCTCCCCCTACATCCCTAAGAAACCATTGCATCTGTTATTGTCTCTATACATCCAATACGTTGGTGTTCATAAACTGGGAAACCTAACAGAAACAATGAAAAACAAAACCAAACAGAAAGAAAAATAATAATAATAAAATAAGGATTGAAAATAAAGGTTGAAAAGGAAAAGTTCACCAGCAATACTAAAATAAGCCAGAAAGAAAATTTCTGTCATGGAACAAGTGAGAAATATTTAAACCTAGAGCAAATTCAGGTTGGATCAAGAGGGAGGTCAACTGACCAGGTATCCTGTTATACTGTAGTTCCATCCACCCACCATCATCAAGTTTACAATAATCTCTGTCCGATAGAAAAGCTGTTAGCATCCCTCCACTGTGGCCAGAGGGCATCTGGCAAAGGCTTCGTTTGCCTAGGTACTCTCCAGGTGGATTTTGGGCTCCCAATGTCCTCCATAGCCTTCTACAAATGGGATGTTCATAATTTAAGCTTTGAGTCTTTTCCCTTCCATAATATTTGGATTTTGTTATCATCATCTTTGGATCACACAGGCTGGTATGCTTCTTCTAAGTAGACCTAGTGGACACCTCACTTAGATGGCTGCTTATTTGAATACAACCCTTTACGATCCCAGGCATTATTCCAATTGATAGCTGGGCGCCGTCTGCTTTCTTCATCACATTTTGCTGTCTTCATGAAGGCAGGCATGAGGGAGGGGGGCATATTATAAGAACTGACTATTTTTGGATTGTGGCTGGAGTTAATTGAGAGCCCTGAACCCATCTGCTTATCCACAGGTTATGAATGACTCTGGCTTACTGTACTGGTCTTGCTATCATTTTATGACAGAAAAACAAAAGGAAGACATTGACCATTATCCCCCTGGGATATAAAACAATTGCATTGATAACATCAATAATTTATCCAGTGGCATAGAATTTAAGGTATTCTTGAGAAAAGGAGTTTATGAGCTCGTAGTCCATCTGAGAATTGCAACCCATGAGTTTTTGCTGTCTTCCGATTGAATTCTTAATTGATTGAGCTCTGTTTATATGGAGCTGGTTTACACTGGGATTGGTGCTAGGGAAAATTTTTCTGTAACATTCCTTACAGGGGCAGATCTTTGCTTCTAAGATTAATACCTGTCATATTAATTCAAGGTATTATTGAAATAGTAAATATATGGTGAATCTGGGTCCCCTTTCATTGGATGCTGCTAAGCCAGGGACCCCACCCATTCCCTTTGTTATTTCTTTTCTTTTGATGACTAGAGGCCTATTTTACTGCTTGTTTCTAGTTGGAGATGATGGATTACGGTGTTGATTTTGTTTTTTTCTTCTTCTTTTGGTTGTGCAGTTATTATTGTCAACTGTCGTCTGAGCTGCTTTTGTTACGTTCTGAAACTTTTGTAATGCTATTTTTATTCCTATGTGATTAAAGAATATTTTGAAGTTCTCGTTTAATTTCTTCAGTTGCTCAGGAGTTTTTAAGCCAGGCATTCCTCAATATCCATGTATTTTATTTCCTTTCTTGATTCTTTGATTATTCTTATTGTTGATTTCTAATTTCGTAGCATTGTGGTTTGAGAAGATTTATAATATCTTGATAATTTAAAATATACTGGGGTTTGCTTTGTGGTCTGACATATGGTGTGCTGTGGAGATTGTTCCATGTGTGCTGGAAAAGAATGTATATTGTGAGGGACACACACACACACACACACACACACACACACACACACCACCTTCCAAGGAAGGCGCTATTGTACAAAGTGTGATGAAATTATTTTTGACTTTATGTGACAGGATAGAACTTCCCTATTGAGGGTTTTTTCCCCTTATGCTAATAGTAATTTATTAGAGCTGAAATTCTGAGTACTAGGTTTGTAGAAAGCTTTGGTTTACAGTGAAGACCCTAAATCCATTTTTGAATCTCCACATAGATTCAGCATCCATTGCCTATAGAATTTATAGGTTGTAAATTTTATAAAACAAATATCCATGTGTTTCCCCTGCGGAGCCACTGGGTGGGTTTATACAGCAGCATTTCGGTTAGCAGCAAAGAGCTTACTGTTAAGGGATCAGGACTCTTTTCCCCAGAAGTCACCTCTGCCAAAGACAGGAGTAGATAACTGTCTCTGATCATGTCTTACAAACCAGAAATGTTCAGGGAGTTGTGCCTTTAAAAGTGTGTGTAGGTATTCTGTGCCTGATGTTGGCCTCAAGGCAATTCATGAAAATAATCTAAGGAAGACACATTATGGGAGATTTACACATATTTCCTAATCCAGACAATGGATTCCTTTAGTATAATTTCAAGAGTTCCCTTGCACAGAAACCCCAAGCCTGCAGATCTTATGCTCGCTCTTTTAGTCAACAAACTTGCAGGGAACATCTACTATTTGTCAGGAGTTTAAGGGACAAAGGAGGCTTGGTGGTACTGTGGGTTAGAGCATTGGGCTGCTAACTACAAGGTTACTGGTTCTAAACCACCTGGCATTTCTTGGGAGAACAATGAAGCCGTCAACCTCCATGAGCCTTGGAAACCCTATGGAGCAGTTCTACTCTGTCCTGTATGGTGCTTCAACTGGGAAGTGGTGAGTGGGCTTGGGGATTAAGGGACAGAGAAGAAAAGGCATTCTCAGAACATTGCAAGTTCTTTTTTTTTTTTTTTTTTTTTTAAAGGGAAGGTGGATACGTTCCACTTAAATTTCAAATCTGGCTCTTGTTATTTTTTCCCTAAATTGAATTAAATAGAATGCATCTAATCACAATTAAATAAACAAACAACCAAATGACAACACATTTATGTGATGCAAAAAAATCACAGTTGCTCAAGCCAGAAGAATTACAGAACAGTTTAAACATCTCCCCTGTGTTAGTCTGGTACTTTAGAGAAACAAATCCACAGAAACTCATGTATAAGAAAGAGTTTTATATAAAGGCTAACTGTGCATCAAGAAAATATCCCAACCCAGTGCTGCCCAAGCCCACAAGTCCAACATTAACCCATTAACCCATATGTCCAACACCAAAAGTCCTCCTCCATCTCACAAAGCAGACACAATGACACTGACTGCAGGAGGAAAGCCGAGTCAGTGAATGTGTAAGCATCTCAGCGCTGGCAGGGCTCTCCACATGGGTGCTCCAGGACCCAGGGCTGCATCGGGGTAGGGCCATGTGGCTTCTCCTTGCGGATGCCTTGTAGGAAGTCAGTCTTGCAAGCTGAAGCAGGGGCCTGCTAAGGCAGCTGCACCGTAGTGCGACCATCAGAGAGCAAGAGACCCGAGAACTCGAAAGGCAGGGCTCACAGAGCCATTTTTCCCTCCACCCTTCAATTAACCCCACGTGTTTATTGGCCAGGTTGGCACAATAAATTCACTAACTCATTCCCTTTCTCATGAATAGACCAGTTTTGAGAAAACCATATGTAAAAAGCTAACTTAAAGCGTCTTAGTGATTTGTACCTTGGGAGTGGCACTGCGGGTTATCAGAAACATCCAGCTCAGGCGTCAGGCTTATGCGCTTTGTGTCTGTTCTCATTCTAGTGGCTCCTAACCCGGCTTGCAACACCAGCTCCTTCAGGCAGCAAGGCCCGCTGGTCTGCGATGGCTTCCGGGACTGTGCAGACGGCCGGGATGAACTGAACTGCACGCAGAGTGAGGAGGGCTCTTCTGGCTTCGACTTTCCCTCTTAGCAACCTCCTGCAAATCAGGGTTGAAATACCTTTGCGGGGCAAGAGAAACCAACTTCCTCTGGTTTTCCTGGCACTGTCCCAGCTGTAGGTCTAGAGGTCCCACGTCCTAAGAATTCCCTCCTTTCCAAGCGATCCAGTACAGTAGGTCACCCTAACTGGAGTGGAATGTGGGTGTCCCGGTGGAGTGCTGGCAGGTTGTCCCTGCTTGCTTGATTTTCATGTGACTCAAGGCTGTGGGGCAGACCTTGACAGACCTGAAAAACCTGATAGAGGAATTTGTCAGCTCCCATGAGTGGACCTGTTCTGCTTTTAATCCCAGCAGATTACACACACCTTCAGTGCTGTGAGCAATGTACCGCAAGGCACATTTGTTCTCCTTCATGGTATAAAAGGACCGAGGGCGGTTGTAATGTCTAAAAAATGTCTTGGAGACCAAGACATATAATAGCAACATCTGCAGACTAAAGCTACAACGTGGTCAACTCCTCTGTGACTGGCTTAGAGTGCAAGGAGAGGAGAGCCCCTAGAGCTGATTCTCAGCCGATGAGCCCGCCCACCCGACTTCTACTGGCTCCCCTGTGTGGAAGAATGAGTCCCTGGGGTTGCTTCTTTTCTCCCAGAGCAGCCAATACTAATTCTGTGGTTAACCACCCTTTGACAAGCTCTGCCATTTACTCAAATTCTGGCTAGGAAAAACATTCTTTCTCATTTCGTTCTTTTTTAGGCACTCCATGCAGCAATAGAACGTTCAGGTGTGGCGATGATATGTGCTTTAGGAAGCAAAATGCAAAATGCGATGGGACAGTGGATTGTCCAGATGGCAGTGATGAAGAAGGCTGTAGTGAGTCGAATATGTCTACAGTTCACTGTTCTTTTTTATTTTCATTTCCTTCTTGTAGTAATCCCCCTAAAAGAGGTTGCCAAAGACCCAGGGAAGAATAAGAAATATTGGGTATCTCAGAAGTGATTGGGTTTAGGACCCACCCTACACTGATACAGCCTCATTACCACCATAAGGAAACTCTTTCCCCAAGTGAGATTGCATCCACAGGTGTAAGGGTTAGGATTGCAACTCATATTTTGAGAGGACACAATTCATTCCATGACACTGAGCCTGAGGTTGTTTCTCAGAAATAAAATCCTTAGAATAGATCCTGTCTTCATTCTTGATAACAAACATGAATACACTAGATGTTCATGAGCATTCACACTTTTTAATAACTCTAATCAAGGGAGAAGATTTAAACATTTTTAAAAAGTCTACAAGAAAAGAAATAGAAGCTACAGCACAGTGATAACTTTGGTAATTATACCTTGTGCTATGAACAATATCAAGTACTGGTTCTTTGTTTAGCTGTTTCCTAATAACTGTAATCTTCCATATATTCCTGTTAGTCATGTGGCTTCTAACAGATCACGTGGCGACATCTTAATGATAAAACTTATCAATGCTACTTAAGATGTCACTTTCAGAACTAAAGGGCACCCAACTCAAGCCATGACATTTTCCATCACTTCATATGCCTGCAAAAACTAGACACTGAATACGGAAGACTGAAACATCGATGCCATGGAATAGTGGTGTTGATGAAGAAAAGGACACACAACTTGGGCTACTTAGTTTTTAAGAACATTAAATATGTTTTGGAGTATGTAAGAAGAAGCACATCCGTGTTGGGAGAAGTACAGTCAGGATGATTCTCAAAAGCGAGAAAGGTAAAACTTTGTCCCATGCACTGTGGACACATCATGGAGAGCCCTGTCCCTCGAGAAGGACCATTGTGCTTGATAAAAGCAGAGAGTTGAGTGAAAAAAGAGGAAACCCCCTCAGTGGAATGGATAGGCGTAGTGGCTCCAACGCTGGGTTCAAACCTGGCAGCGACGATGGGGGGGCACGGCACCACACAGTGTTTCCTCTGCTGCCCACTGGGTTGCTGAGTTAGAACCAACTCAAACAAAAACAACCTCGATACTATTTGCACCGAAAAATAATTACCCTGGCATGAACTCATTTTTCTTGCTAGGTTTCCATTTGATTTTGCCTTGGACTTTTAAATTCTCTCCCCGATGCTTTCAAATGGCCTCAAGTTCAAAGACACTCATTTCTCTCACAGTTGGAGCTATTCTTTTCTTCCCCAATAACAGTCTACGGGCCACAGAGTGCTGTTTGCATCCATCCAGCTGTTACTAAAAGGGCTCCATTTCTCCCTTCGCTTGAATCAGTAGACAGGGAGACTCTGTGTGGTAGTGCATTTTCTACTAGGAGGAAAAGGGTGGTTTGTTAGTGGTGCTTACAGATACACCCACATATTCCTTCTCCTTTAAATAAGCAAGGGGTTCCACATTGCTTACCCGGCATATTAGTTCCCCGTGTAGAACTAAGCTTCACTTAATTTCTAGAGTTTCTTCCAGGGCTGCATTTACAACGTGTGGCCCTTTCTCTGTCCAAGGCTGCAGCAGAGGCACCTCCACTCTCCACCGCATCATCGGGGGCACCGACACCCTGGAGGGGGGCTGGCCCTGGCAAGTCAGCCTCCACTTTGTGGGAAATGCCTACTGTGGCGCCTCAGTCATCTCCAGGGAGTGGCTTCTCTCTGCAGCTCACTGTTTCCATGGAAACAGGTAAGGCAGGCAATCCTTACTCTGGAGTGGTACCCTCTCTGACGACTGCCTGGCACCTCCCTCGAATCGCAGAAAGCCTCCCACTGCAGAAATGCAATCAACTCAGTCCTTTCTTTATCTCCTGGCATCTCATGTGCGTTGGACATTTTTGAAAAGGCATTATGGGTATTAAGAAAAGAAAAGGAACAAAGGCAATGTCCAAAATAAATAGACTTTTTAGACGGAGGGCACTAACCCCGTGAGAAGGCAGAGAGTTGAAGACAAGTACGTGTGAGGGGCACTGGAGTGTGGGCATCTGTAAGCAGAATGGGCGGTGAACCCTGGGCCCAGACGGCAATGGGAGGACTCTGTCTGCCTTTAACGATCCTCTAGGGATAGAGGCTCTTCCAGCTAAAGGTGCCCAGAACACAAGCTCACTTAAAATTGTAACCTGGAATGCAATGAACCTTAAGTAAAAATTTATATTCATTTATATTTTATCACAAAGCAGAGTATTTCAATCAACTTATGGCATTTGAGTATTTGCTTCTGGAAATTCCAAGATCCATGTGAATTCCTAAAGTAGCTTCTCCCGTGTTGATTATTGGTCTTTTGTGCCATGCACCCACTTCAAATGATATGTTGACCTTAATTCTCCCCTAGGCCATGCCCTGGTGACTTAGTGCTTATGTGTTGGGCTACAAGGTCAGCAGTTAGAAACCATCAGCCACTCCTTGGGAGAAAGACAAGACTTTCTACTCCAGTAATAGTTACAGCCTCAGAAACTCACAGGGGCAGGTCTGCCCTCTCCTATAGGGCCACTAGGAGTCAGCATTGAGAGAGAGAGAGACAGAGATCGAATATGCTCCTGTAGCCCTGGTACCACCCATGGAATATCAGTTAAGCAGATTAGTAATTGCACATTTGGAATCTTGTCCTTATTTTCCTTCCAAAGCTTATATTCTCTTCATCCCACCGGAGCAAGTCTGTTGTGTGGATGGAGATGAGAATTAAACGTGGAGACTGGGGACCCTCGGTGACTTGTGCATGCCCACTAACATCAAGGTTAGAATTCAGAAGGACTGATGCGAGATGGTGCCTCCGTGAAGGGTCACCCTTGAGAAGCCAGACCTAAAATGATTGGGGCTTCTGGTAGTTTTTAAGAAGGGGTTTCATTACATCCTGGGTTATTATACTTTGATTGCTACTTTCTCTAGGCATTCATATCATTGGCGTTTGGGAAATCATTTTCTGTCTCCACCAACTACTATCATCCACACGAATATGAAGACTGTAGTAAATTAATTGTAGGTACCAGTGCTCTTGATCTGTGTCTGATTCATGTAATTGCAGTGGCAAGAACACTTCTAGCCATTTTCTTAGAGCATGGAGTGACTCTACTGGGCTATTGCTGTAATTCACATCCTAGCTCATCTCTGGTGGTGCTAAGGAGGCAAGGGAGACCCCTAGAAGTTGTGCTTCCTTGCCAGACCTTTGGCCAGAGCCAGTGGCTGCATCCACTCTCTCGGTGACTTTCCCAGATTGTAAATCTTTATGTCTTGGAAGAAGTACAGAATGCTCCTTAGAGGGAAGGATGGTGAGACTTTGTCTCCTAAACGTTGGACATACTGTCAGGAGAGACCAGTGCTTGGTAAAGTAGAGGGACAGTGAAAAAGTAAAAGGCCCTCAATAAGATGATGAGCACAGTGGCTGCACCCATGGGCGCCAGCGTAGGAACAATTGTGAGGACGGCGCAGGACAGGGCAGCGTTTCGTTCCATTGTGCATCGGGGGGCTTTGAGGCTGAAACGGACTTGATGGCACCGAACAACAACACATTGGGGGAGGGGAGCAGAACCCCTTATCTTGCCCCCATGCGGCAGCTGCTGGTTTTGAACTGCTGGCCTTGCAGTTAGCAACTCAACACTGAACCCACAACACCACCAGAGCGCCCACAGTGGCTACACTAGGAGCACACAAGCAGACTCTGTTGTCTAAATTCTCACGAGGGCGCTTGTTTCAGAAGCATGGATGTATGACCTTTTGAGCCACTAATGTTGTGCTTCATCCCCTTTCTACCAGGCTGTCTGACCCCACACCATGGACGGCTCACCTGGGGATGTATGTGCAGGGGAATGCCAAGTTTGTCTCCCCCGTGCGGAGAATCGTGGTCCACGAGTACTATAACAGCCAGACCTTTGACTATGACATTGCTCTGCTACAGCTCAGCATCGCCTGGCCCGAGACCCTGAAACAGCTCATTCAGCCCATATGCATCCCTCCCGCCGGCCAGAAAGTACGCACTGGGGAGAAGTGCTGGGTCACGGGCTGGGGGCGACTGCACGAAGCAGGTGGGTGTGTGCGTGGATGGCCATGCCTTTGCTCTCCCTCCAGATGATAACACTCCTGCAGGTTGCCGTCATGCTCTGGGGTTCACAGAGGGAGTTTGTGCACGTGAGCCTTCGACACCAGTTGAGGGAGAGTGGAAGGGCTCTTTTCATATGTGTTCTACGATGCGCTGCACCTGCTCCCTAAGAACCAGGGCACCCCCGACAGGGATTCTAGCTAACAACGGTCCTTTTCAAACTCTGAAGCTTTTGCTAGGTTTTCTGTTGTCGAAGAGCAACTCGTTCTTAGTTATTTCTAGCTCCTTTTTGCATCTGAGGAGGAGAAGTGATTTGCTTTGATTGTGGGGAATTGGACACACACAGGCTATGATGTCAGCTCATAGGACAACTGTCCAGAGGATTATGTAAGTGTGTCCTGCACAAGGGCCAAAGGCAGGGGTGAGGGCTAAGGTCTAACCTGTCCTTCGTTCCCTTAGCTGCTCATTCAGGCCTGTCAGTTATAACAACCTAGAAGTCAGCTATATCAACCTGGCAGAAAATCACCCTTTTCCAGTTCCTCCACCCAGAGGGGCAGCCCCTCCTCTATACACATAAGCAGGCTGTCAGTAATCTATGACAAGAATAGCAAAAGTGGGTGACTTTAAAGATCAGAAATTTGTTTTCTTAGGAGCCTAGAAGTTCAAATTCAGGCACATGCCAAATGTGGGGAAAGTTTTCCCTTTGTCTGCTCTCTTTGCCTCTTTCAGCTTTGTTAGCCTGGCATTCCAAAATTCTTGGACAGCCTTCCCATCTACACACACTTGCACACATGCATGCACATTAATGCTTGCTTCTGTTATGCATGCTTCTGTGTCTAATCTGTTCCTTTTGTAACTCCAAGGGGATTCGTTTTAGGACATATTCTATACTGCTATGGCCTCATTAAAGAGCCTTGGTGGTCCAATTGGCTACACACTGAACCACTAACTACAAAATCAGTGGTTTGAACCCACCAGGTGCTCCATGGGAGAAAAATGAGGCTATCTACCCTCCTAATGAGAGAAAGTCTCAGAGACCCAAAGGGATAGTTCCACCCTGTCCTCCAGAGATGCTGCGAGTTGGAATTGACTCGTTGGCAGTGAGTTCTTTTAGGATGGCTTATGGACATAATGAAGAAGATCCTATTTCCAAATGAGAATGCAATCACAAGTTAGGATTTCAATTATATCTGGAGAGAACACAATTCAAGCTGGAACCAGACTATTTACAGCTGCCTTGCCAAGCTACCCCACACTCCAGGCCCTCATGGAAGATAGAGTCTGAGTAAACACAGAGGGATAGAATCCAAAGCTCTGCTCAACCCTCTGAAAGCCAAGTGCTAGTCCTTTTCCTTGGTCTCCCCTCTGTCATCTCAGATCCTTTGCAAACTCTGAAGCTTTTGTAGGTTTATTTGCTAGTCCTTTATCCTGCAGCCTGGTTTTAGCACTGTAAAGACTTATTGCGGACAGCTTTTTCAAGAGTTCATTGCCGTCATTTAATTAATTCAGGTAATTCTAGTCACCACCAGTTTAGATCCACTGAGATCTCCAAGTGCCAATAAGGGAAGACAGCTAACCCTTTGAACACCTGCTGCCTATCATGGCGTTGCCTCGTGCTTTCATTATGCAAGGGGGCTTCAAAATTCACTGAAAAAGTCCGTCTATTTTTAGTTTTATTGTTCTGCAACCTCATTTGAAGCCCACTTGTATAATCAGATTGCACAAGGGGAGAGTCTACGCAACCAATTGTTCACAAGATGTTTCTGTATAAGCAAGGGTGTGTGTATGCATGTATTTGCTCTTTTGAAACTCATTAGCTAGGCAGCATAAAAGAGGAAGTGAAAGGACCATAATTAAACTGTACCATTTTATTGTTTGTAGGAAAGTGTCATAGATCAGCTTTGCCACTCGAACCAAGGAGCCCTTTTGACTGTAATAAAACCCACTGCTGTCTGTCAAGTTGATTCTGTCTCATAGTGACCCTCTATAGGGTTTCCAAAGTTGTAAATCTTTAAAGGAACAGACAACCTCAACTCTCTCCTGGGTTATCAGTCCAATGCTTCCCTGGTAGCAGCATCAGGGATTCTAATTCACCGTCCCAATGCAAGCAGGGGCTTCATGGTGGTGGAGGCGGACACAGTGGTGCAGGTGACCATGACAGAGCCTTGAGTCTGAATTCTATTCTGTCACTTGCTACCTGTGTGCCCTTGGACAAATCTTTTAGTCACCTGAGCTTCTATTTCTTTGTTAGCAAAGTGGGGAAAATAGACTATCCCTGAAAAATTATCACGATAAAAGGAGATAATGTGAGTAAACTGTTTCAAAAAGTCCTCAGTAAGAGTGGCTACTGTCATTATTTTTTTAAATTAAATTAAATTTTTTTGATTGCCATTACCTATGATTTGTGTTCCCCTTCTGTTTTCCAGATAGTCAAGGCTCTGCTGTTTTGCAGCAAGCAGAAGTAGAGCTTATTGACCAAACTCTCTGTGTGTCCACCTATGGGATTATTACCTCACGGATGCTCTGTGCTGGCATCATGTCAGGCAAGAGGGATGCTTGCAAAGTAAGCTTCTGTCTTTCTCTCACCTTGCAGAATGATCATTTCACATTATTTCACATGACTGCTGCCCCTCACTCTGCAGCAACTAAGGCAGGTGTTCCTTTTAACCCATCTAAGTTGTCCAGAACTAGAGCCTGGCTGTCTGAGGTCAATGAGACATGGAGTGAAATCATTGAGTCTCTAGGAGTCCATTTTCTAGCTCCAAATCTCTCCTCCAGCATTAGAGAATGATAGAGGTGTTTATCAGTCTGCCATGATGTTCTCACAACCCCAAATGGCACACGGTCTCAAGACTGCCCTCTATTTCCTTAGCAGACGTCGTTTGCCTTCTGAAGTAACGAAAGCTTTATTAACTTACTCCTTTGAGTCATAGGTGGGGGAAATAAAGGATGAAAAAATGAGGTGACAGAGGACATTCCTATGTAGACCTCTGGTAGGACCCCAACAGCAGTAAGATTGGAGACCCCTTTTGGGAAGGGCATTTTCAGTGGCATAGGTGATGGTGTCAGAGCCATTGGAGTCTATGCAGAAGTGTGCATGATAGCCCAGAGTGGACATATCATTCAGAGGATGAGAGGACAGTGGGACACATTCTCATAGCCAACGCCAACCTTAGCCACTGAGCTACAGGAACTCCTAACAACAATGCCTCACTCCTGGCCTCCTCTTTTGTGCTCAGCTCTGTGCACTCCTTCCCATGAATTTATCCCATTAATGATTTCATCTCCATTTTGCGGAATAGGAAAGGAGGCCTAGAAGGGTTAAATAAATTACTCTAAGTCACACAGTAGCGAGTGGCTGAAGATGTTTTGAAGACTTGTCTCTCTGATGCTCAACCCATACGTTGTGGTGCTTCCTGCTACACAGCTCTGTTCCACATCCATAGTCACCAGGGTTTCTGAGTTAGATCGCTTTCATTAGTATTAGTTGAACTGGGATGACAACAATTTTTAAAAGTGAAAAGTCCAATGTCCCTATGAGTGAAAACTAACCTAGTAGGGTATAGATAATATTTTGTATATAGGACACAGGACAAGTCTGGAATACTTTCTTATCATTGCCCCGAAGAGTCCCATAAGGCTTTGGCTTTCCCCTCTCTCCCTCTAGAAGCCAGACATTATCATTGAAAGGGTTGAATACCATAGGAATTATGTGCAGCTGATAGCAGAGGGATTCTTGAGGGGTATTGTCTACGGTGACTGCCAGGGACCCTTTGGCTCTGTCGAAGCACAGTCACTTTTTCTCTTCTGGCTCCACGAGGCAACCTCTCAAGATGTATGTCCCCCACATAGAGGTCAGCCCAGGAATATAACCCTACCTCATAAGGATGTTGAAATAATTCAATGACCCAAAGAGAATTTAAAACATAGTTGGCACTGAGTAAATGTTAGCTCTTCTAACAATAATCATAATAAGAGTTATTGTTATTTGTTCTGTGTTTGAGGCTATGTGGTCATTGTTTCTTCGGCACGCAACTCTCAGTGTTACTCTGAGTCTAAAGAATCGAGGTTTTCAAAGGGATGGCCCCTTGTGACTATAGGAAGACTACTTCTACAATGCCTTTAGAAGGTTCACATTATTTCTTGCCATTTCCTCAAAGTGCTTCATGATTAGCCAAGCAAAAGCTACCATAAGGGAGCTGTGAATGCACCATATTAGAGGGATTAAAGAACAAATTGATTATGATGGGACAAAGGCAAATCATACTTAAACGATCTTCTTGTCTAGGGAGATTCTGGTGGACCTCTATCTTGCCGAAGAAAGAGCGATGGAAGATGGATCTTGACTGGCATTGTTAGCTGGGGGTATGGCTGTGGAAGACCAAACTTTCCTGGTGTCTACACAAGGGTGTCAAACTTTGTTACTTGGATTCATAAATACGTCCCTTCTCTTTTGTAATTGGATTATTGACTATGATTTATGTGATAGATTGTTTTAAAAGGATGCTATAACTATCAAATAAAACGACTCACTTTTTTTTTCATCTGGAACTGTCAAATTGCACACGTTTTGTATTTATTGAAATATAGGCAGACTAACAGGCATTTATTACATTAAAAACAGTCTCAGGGATGAAAGTGTCCTACTTCTTAAATATCCTCCTGGATGGAGGAAACCTATCATACCATTTTAGACTAAGCTTCTGTAACACACAGGAAATGGATGAAATGCTCCTCCTGTATCCTTACTTTATATTCTCTGCCCGTTCCAGGTATTTGTAAGGATCTGTCTGAGGCTGCTTTCTCTAGAGAAGCACAACCAATGACATTATATACAAAAAGAGAGAAAGAGAAAAAAAATTTTTTTAAAGAGAGAAAGCTATTTATATCAAGGAAATGGCTCACATAGTCCAGTCTGGTTCAATTCCATGGGTCCGATGTGAAGATGGAGTCTTTTTCTGACTTATGTAGCTTCCAGGGCTGGTGAACCAGGAATCGGTGAGATGAACCAGGAAGTAGGAAGATCACAGGTTGGTGAAGAGGTAGATGAATCCAAGATCAGAAGTTCAGGCGCTTGGCTACAAAATCAAACAAATGCAAGGTAAGCAGGTAATATGGTAGGCCACTGAGAGTTCCCAGGGCCTGTAAGCAACATGGCAGGCTGTTGTCTCAAGTCCAAAGAACAGGAAGGAGATGAAGGAGACAGATGCAGGATCGAGACCAAGCAAGAAGTGGGGAAGCACCCCTTTTAACAATTGTAGGCCACACCCCTGAGGAAACCTCCTTTCAATTGTATCAAGGCTGTGAGCTGATTTCCTGGATTTAAAAAGATAAGGAGATGCTTACTCAAAGGGAATGGCTCACACAATTGTGGGGGATGCCAAGTCTCAAATCCATGGGTCAGACAACAGGCAGACAATCACCGCTGGCTTATGTGTTTGCGGGGACTGATGAACCCCAAATCTGCAGGTCTGGCTATAGGTTAGTGGCTTCTTTTGGGTTATGTCTCAAGGATCAGAGGCCAATACAGAGGAGAATGCAAGGTCGAGAGAGCAAGCTTTGCGAGCACATCACTTATATACTGGATGCAGAACACTCTCCCCAGGAAACTCTCCTTCGAACTGATTGGCTGCTCACATCGCATCGCATAAGGGAGGATAATTAAATATCTGTCGAACCATTGAGAACCAACGTCTCGCTAAGTCGACATGTACCTTTACGCATCATAGATATGAAAGTGAACTTTTGTGAAATATTTTCACTTGGCTTTTGGTTCTCTTATAAAACTCACATTGGCTAAGATTTTCCTTTATTTCCAAGGCCTTATAATGCTTAGCCTAGTTTTAGACTTATAGCACAGGCTCAATGCATAGCTGTTGGGTGATTTCATCTTGATGTAGAGGGTTTCATTTCACACTTGGTTTAGGGGCTATTATTCCTCTTTATTAACAGAGGGAAGACTTAATACCACCTACTAAGTGAAAAGAGCAGAATAGAGAAGAATGATATCTGTAGTTGTCCTTGGGGCAAAGTCAAAGGAGTGAGAACAATCCTATTTTTGTGTGGGGTCAGAACAGTAAAACTGGTTCAAAATCGAGCTCAGAAAATCATAATGCAACAGCAAAAGGAGAGGGCAGGAGGCATCATCCCCCAGATCCGATAAAAAAGCAAGGCTGGGATTCAGTCCCTCATGTCTATTACCCATAATTGTACTGAAAAAATCACAGTATGGGCCTCAAGAACGCTTCAAGGACATTTTGATGGTGCCACCAGGATCAGCCCTTGTAAGTGTGCCACATGAAGATTCTGCAGGGAAAGATGACGCTTTCTGCTCCCATAGAGATTACAGTCTCAGGAACCCAAAGGGCAGTTCTTCTCTGTCCTCTGGGGTCACTATGAATTGGAATGGACTCAAGTGAAATATGTAAGTGAACTATGAGTATTCTTTCTATTAGGGATCTTTTGTTCTCATGTCATCCATTATATGCTGAGACCTGTACAATCTTTTTCATAGAATAAAATGGCTCATGAGAGAAAAAAATGCTGTGATTTCCCAGAGATAGTGAATATTTCCGGTGTATAGAACTTATTTTGATTTCCCACCAAGACCGATTGCCTTAAAGTATCCTTGTTCATCTTTGAGTAGGTCCCTAAGGATTTAGTAAGCAGGCTACCCAAAGCCAAACAAACCACGCACCTTGTTACTTAGGTGGGCCATGTGGACTCACATTGCTCTGCGAGGCTTTGACTGTGTGGAAGCAGATCGGTAGGGCTTTCTCTGAGTGCCTCTGGGTGGATTCAAACCACCAACCTTTCAGTTCATAATGGAGCAGTCGACCATTTATGTCACCTGGGGACAAATTGGCTATCGGTTGTGCGATTCAGTGGGCCTAGTGCATTATCTGAGGCGCCCTGGTGGCATAGTGATTAGGAGTTAGGCTGTGACCCACACGTCTACAGTTCAAAACCAACAGTGGCTCCATGCGAGGAAAATGGGGCTTTCTACTCGGTGAACAGTTACACTCTCAGACACGCACAGGGCAGCTCTACCCTGTCTTATAGGGCCAGTATGAGGTGGTATCGACTTGATGGCAGGGACTGAATGAGCGAGTGAATGCGTGCACTATTTAAAAGGAGTCCATTGGTGCAGTGGTTAAGTGCTCGACTGTGAACTGAAAGGTCAGAGGTTTGAGCCCCTCAGAGGCTCTATGAGAGAAAGCAGTTTGCTTCCAAAAAGATGGTTGTTGCTGGGTGCCATTGAGTCAGTTCCGAGACATGGTGACCCTACTCACAGCAGCACACACGTTGCCGGGTCGATTGTTCCCACGTGTGAGCCCATCGTGGCCGCCATGGTGTCAACGTGGTTGCAGCCAGCTCCTTGAGGGCCTGCCTCTCTTTCCCTGCTCCTCCTCTACTCTACCTTCTCCAGGGTTGCTCTCTCCTGATAACACGCCCAAAGTATGTGAGAAGTCTCAGCATCCTTGCCTCTAAGAAGCATCAGGCCATACTTTTTCCAAGTCAGATTTATTTGTCCTCTTGGCAATCCTTGGTGCTTTCAATATTCTTCTACTGCACCACAATTCTAACCTATTAATTCTTCTTCGGTCTTCCTTATTCAAGGTCTATCTTTCACATGCATGTGACGCAACGAAAATACCATGCCTAGGGTCAGCCTCACCCTAGTCCTCAAAGTAACATCCTTTGCCATGGGCAGCTGTTCCTTCTTCATAGACTATTCTTAGTCTGGAAGCTCTGCTGAAACCTGCTCACTTTGGGCGACTCTGCTGGCCTTTGAAATACGGCTGACGTGGCTTCCAGCAGCACAGCAACACACAAGCCACCATGTTATGACAAATGGTGGCCAACAAGGTTACAGCTTTGAAAACTCTATGGGTCAGCACCACTTTGTCCTATTGGGCCACCATGAGTTGGAATCTGCATGGGACAAAGGGTTTAGTTTTCAGGTTTAGTGCATCACACAATTCACACAGAGAGGGTGGAACCTGTGTGTTACTGGGACTTAGCTACTGAATCCACTCTATAGAAGAGCAAAATAGGCTAACCTTTCTTGTAAAAGGTTTATGTTTACCTGGTATAGCTATGACCTAAGTATAAGGTGAATTATACTTTTATTTTATTTTTTTAAAATTGGGAGTTAATCCATATATCATTCTATAGATCAATCACATCAAGCAGTATTACAAAATTGCTACCACAGTCAGTTTATGAAGATTCTTTTCCTTCCTAGACTCCTTGACATTGTCTCCCTTTTACCACCACCCCATGCCCTCCCCTGCCAGAAACCCTTATTCTACTTGCTGTCCATATAGGTTCATCAATCCTGGGGTTCATGTACCCCAAAAGAGGAAAACATATAACACATGGATGACAATGGGAGCCCAAGATACATTTGTGGGAACTACATAGGAAATAAACCTCTGGTGATCTCCTTGTATCCATCATAGAGGGATGAGAGGAGAGTGGTTACTAAACAGAGTGCATAGGAGAGATAAGTATGGGCAATCGAAGTGATTAACCCTACGTGGATGGTTAAAACTTTGTCAGTTGATCCCCCTTCTGGATGATATGTTTTAGACAGTACTCATTTCTAAGGTAAGGGATAGCTAACTCGATAAACTATACCAAAACTTTTATAGAAGATTGTATTCTCAATCAAAAGGGGTGGCACAATTCTAGCATATTTACTGAATAGAGTTTCTCAAACCACATATCAGCATCATCACTCTAGAGTCTTGTTGGTGCCCAGGGGAGTGTGTCATGCTCCCCAGCAGTGATAGGGTTTGGTGAAAGTTGGCAACTATAGGCTAATATGCCTGCTCAGTTCATGCCCAAACACATATAAGAACTGAAGGACAGTGGGAGGTGTAAGAAACTAAAATAATAGTTTATAATTTATCAGGTGTCCCTGAGGGTGGGAGGGTGGGGGAGGGAGGGAAAAAGAGGAGCTGATACCAAGGGCTCAAACAGAAAGCAAATATTTTCAAAATGATGATGGCAACATATGTACCAATATGCTTGATACAACTGTCGTATAGATTGTTATAAGAGCTGTAAGAGCCCCTAGTAAAATGATTTATTAAAAAAAAGAACTGAATGATGTGTGTGTTAGTCAAATCAGGACAGGTCATCCGTAAGTCTGCAACAGTATGCACCAGTTCACAGGCTCAAAAATTTCTTCATCTGGTCGGGTTCTGGTCAACTCATTGTAGGCTGCCTCACTTAGCCTCCCTAAAGAGCCCATGGTCTAAAGGCAAGGTGACCAATGGGCACCCTGGGGAGGCTAAGTGAGGCAGCCCACACTCATTGAGTTATGGCTCTCACAGGAGTCACTGTATTTATGAAAGAAGAGATACACTTTGAAAAGGTATCCCTGTGAAGATAGATTTCTAAGCATCTGAAACAAATGGGAAGTAGAATTCAGAAACTTAGCCACAAATC